GCTCCCACACCTCTCCACAAAGCCCGTTCTCACACCTGCCCGGCGCCAGCGAAGAGACCCCGGGCACTGCACAAACTCAAGAAACGGGGCCTCCGGCCTAGGGCTTTGCAGGGCCCAGACCGCCCGCTGCCGGGAGCGCTGGACCGAAGGGGAAGTGAGACCACAAGGACCCCGGCCAGAGCGTAGCTGCCCTGGTGCCGCCCTCTCCCTGAGCAAGGCCTGGAGACCCGCTTCCCAGGTCGGGCCCCGCGCAGCCCACACGCTGCAGCTCCACATGCCCCTCCCAAGTCAGCCTGGCTCCTGGGCCCCTCCTCCCGCACGACCCCCACATAGGTCACGGCCCGCCAGGCCAGGGCCGCTCTCCCCCCGCCAAAGCCGCGTGGAGGCCCGCGAGGCGCCATGCGCAGTGGTGGCGACCCGCGCGCACGCCGCCGGGTCACTCAGGCGCGCCCAGGAGCTGCGGCCGCAGCCGCTGCCACCAGGCGCCCAGCGAGAGCGCGCGGCGCACCTGCCGGCCCCGCCGGCCTCCCGCGCGAGCCCGAGCCTAGAGGCCGCGCGCGCCCGCCGGCCACGCGGGGCCAGCTCTGCGGCTGCGGCCGTCCTCCCGCCCGCGCACCTGCAGCGAGCGCCCGCCCCGGCCCAGCCCCCCAGGCTTGAAGGCCTCCCCGGGCCCGCAAACCCTCCCTGCCCGGCCCGGGCCGCCGGCCTGCCTCACCAGCGGTAGCAGCCCTCCGAGGCCTCCAGTGTGAAGTTCACGCGCGCGGCCCTCGTGAAGGGCAGCAGCACCTTGGGGATGTTGAGCTTGGCCACCGCGGCGGCGGGGCCCAGCGCCAACAGCACCGAGAGCGCGAGCAGCAGCGGCGGCGGCTCCCGGGCCCGCGCCGCCATCCTAGCCGCGCTTCACCTCCGGCGACCCGGCCGCCCGCGCGCTCCCCCTCGCGCCCTCCGTACGCGCCGGGCGGCAGGGGGCGGGGCGAGGGCCGCAGCCGGCCGAGCGCGGGAACTGAGGGGGCCGAGCTCTTGGCGACCCAACCCTCGGCCCCGGCCCCGCGCGCCGGAACACGGGGTGGGGGTGGAGGGCGCGCGCCCGGGCCACCGGAGCCGAGGGAGCAGTGGCGGGGCGCGCGCCCCGCGGGCACCCCTGGACCGCGCGTGAAGCCCCGCTCAGTTTTCTGGCCTCCGCGCTCATCCCTGGGCCTTCAGACTCTTGCCGTCCTGGACGCCAATGGGAGCCTTGTGGCTATGGGCAGCGTTCCCCCACCCTGCTCGCGCCTCCGGCGGTGGAGCCAGGCCACCGGGTCCTGAGACCTTGTCCTCAGGCCGGGACCGACAGTCAACACGCTAAAGGACACACACCCCAGGACATTTGGGGGTGTGCAGTACCGGCGCCTGCCTCATCCCGGGCCATGCTTCCCAGAAGAGGAACCCTCCCTTCCGCAAGGGAAGCCAACGGCTGAAGCACTTCAGCCTCCTCACAACCTGCCCAGGAGGCGTTTTGATCCCATTTTTCTGGGAGGAAACGGGTCGAATGTCCCCCATATCCCCCAGCCATCAGGGCAGCGCTGGGGGCTCTCTGATCCCCAAGCCTTTGTTCTCTGCGCTGCACCCACTGCCCCACTGTCTTCCGGAAGCCGTTAGAGGTTACCCAAAGGTCAGATTTAGGGCGCCAACACTGTCAGAAGCACACCCTACTCCTTCCCCCACCCTGGCTAAAGACAGTTCAGCATCGCTAAATTCATCTGCACACAGAAATTGACGGTCTTAGATTAAGTCTACACTCGTGCTCTATGGTTCCTAGCTGTCTCGGCCGCGGTTTGCATGGAGGGGCGGGGCACCACGTGCTGCTCAGTGCTGCAGAAATACTAACCCAAGCGGCCCAGCTTGGGTAAGGAGTGCAGGAAGTGTGTGCTGACCTGTAGCCAGGAAGGCACACACCGATGCCACTGAGTGACAAGGAAGGAGAGGCTAAATTTCAATCAGGCTCAGAAGGCTTTCTGGAGGAGGTGGCCTTGTCTTGGGCATAGACAGACATCTCACTGGGCTTGAGAGAGGTCCAGGTGAGTCTGAGCCTGCCCCTCC